CCTCTGAGTCCCTACTTATTTTCTATCTGGTTGATCTGTCCTTTGGAGTGAGTGGTGTGTTGAAGTCTCACTGCATTCTATTTCCTCCTTTAATTCTGTTATTATTTGTTTCACATATGTTGGTGCTCCTGTATTGGTGCACAGATATTTATAATGGTCATATCTTCTTGTTGGACTGACCCCTTTATCATTATGTAATGTCCTTCTTTATCTCTTGTTACTTTCTTTGTTTTGAATTCTATTTTGTCTGATACAAGTACTGCAACACCTGCTTTTTTCTCCCTATTGTTTGCATGAAATCTCTTTTCCCATCCCTTTACTTTTATTCTGTGTATGTCTTTAGGTTTGAGGTGAGTCTCTTATAAGCAACAGATGGGTCTTGCTTTTTTATTCATTCTGTTACTCTGTGTCTTTTCATTGGTGCATTCAGTCCATTTACATTTAGGGTGATTATCGATAGATATATACTTATTACCATTGCAGGCTTTGGATTCGTAGTTACCAAGGGTTCAAGGGTAGCTTCTTTACTATCTAACTGTCTCACTTTAACTTGCTTATTATGCTATTATAAACATGATCTGATGATTCCTTCTTTCTCTCCCTTCTTATTCTTCCTCCTCCACTCTTTATATGTTAGATGTTTTATTCTGTACTCTTTTGTGTTTCCTTTGACTACTTTTGTGGATAGTTGCGTTTATTTTTTGCCTTTAGTTAGTATTTGGTCAGTCTGCTTTCTTTGCTGTGGTTTTATTTTCCCTGGTGACATCTATTTAGCCTTAGGTGTTCTTCCATCTAGAGCGGTCCCTTTAAAATACCCTGTAGAGGTTGTTTGTGGGAGGCAAATTCCCTCAACTTTTGCTTGTCTGGGAATTGTTTAATCCCTCCTTCAAATTTAAATTATAATTTTGCTGGATAGAGTATTCTTTGTTCAAGGCCCTTCTGTTTCATTGCATTAAATATATCATGTAATTCTCTTCTGGCCTGTAAGGTTTCTGTTGAGAAGTTTGATGATAGCCTCATAGGTTTTCCTTTGTAGGTCATCTTTTTTCTCTCTCTGGCTGCCTTTAATACCCTGTCCTTGTCTTTGATCTTTGCCATTTTAATTATTATATGTCTTGGTGTTGTCCTCCTTGGTTCCCTTGTGTTGGCAGTTCTGTGGGCTTCCATGGTCTGAGAGACTATTTCCTTCCCCAGCTTGGGTAAGTTTTCAGCAATTATTTCTTCTAAGACACTTTCTATCCCTTTTTCTCTCTTCTTCTTCTTCTGGTACCTCTATAATGTGAATATTGTTTCATTTGGATTGGTCACACAGTTCTCTTAATATTCTTTCATTCCTGGAGATCCTTTTATCTCTCTCTGCCTCATCTTCTCTGTATTCCTGTTCTCTTATTTCTATTTCATTAACAGTCTCTTGCACCTCATCCAGTCTACTCTTAAGTCCTTCTATTGATTGTTTCATTTCTGTTATCTCCCTCCAGACTTCATCCCTTAGCTCTTGCATATTTCTCTGCAGGTCCATCAGCATGGTTTTGACTTTTATTTTGAATTCTTTTTCAGGAAGATTGGTTATATCTATCTCACCAGGCCCTCTCTCTAGGGTTGTTTCAGTTATTATTGACTGGACCAGATTCTTCTGCCTTGTCATGGCAATAGAGGTAGTTGTAGGCAGGTGGCATGGGTGTCAGCTGGGAGAACAAAGTCCTTCCCTGCTTGCTGGTTGCTTGCCTCTCTCTGCTGCCTGTGTCAGTTACCCGCACACAGGTTGCAGTCTCTGGGTTAATCTCCTGAGCAGCCGTGGGTGGAGTGGCCCTCAGGATAGCCTAGGGCACTGCAGGGAGTTGCTGACACTCTGGGTGTGTTCTCCTGTAAGAATGGTGCCCCTTCGTGCCTTCCGGACCTTGCCCTGGCTTTGTCTGCCTGTGCTGGGCAGCTGCACATGGGGGCAGCCTCTGGGTTTGGCCTTGCACTCTGGAGGAGACTCTGTGTGGTTGCTGTGGGTGGGGCTGTTCCCCAGCTGCTCCACAGTGGTGACAGGTCAGCCGGTTTGTTTGCAGCACCGGCAGGGGGGAATGAATGGCAGACGCCAACAGGGGGGAATGTACAGCGTGCTTCTTCTCCCCATGAGTGGCTTCTCCATTGCCACCCAGGGGGTTAAGGTGCCTGAAGTTCCTTAGATTCCAGCCTACTAAGCTGAGTGTGCTGGAATGATTTTGTCTACCTGTTAAACCCTTGTCCCTTTAAGACTTTTAAAAAGCACCCACTTTTCTTTTGTCCCAGGAGAGCCAGCTGTGGGGACCCACTTGCAGTCTCCATTTTGGGTTTTACTTTTCCGTTTCTCTAATATCCAGTACACCGTGCAATGTGTATCTGTGCTCCTGGTGCAGATTACTGGGGCTGGTTATTTAGCAGCCTGTGCTTCCACTCCTTCACAACTCTGATTCTTTTCCTCCCGCCAGTGAGGTGGAATGGGGGAAGTGCTCAGGTCCCACTGGTCATGGCTTTGTATCTTACCCTTTTCATGAGATGCTGAGTTCTCGCAGATGTAGATGTAGCCTGGCTGTTGTACTGTATCTTCTGGTCTCTCTTTTAGGAATAGTTGTATTTGCTCTATTTTCAAAAATATATATGGTTTTGGGAGGAGATTACCGCCACCCTACTCATGCAGCAATCTTGAGCAATCTTCTCTCTTATGTTTTTAAAAACACTATTCTGAGAAGGTATTCATTAAAGTCCACAGGCTTTACCAGATTCCAAAGGGGCCCTCATAGAAATTTTAGAAAGTGAGAAGTTTATATATAAACAGGTAGATAATAGACACACACACACACACACACACACACACACACACACACACACTAAAAGGTTAAGAACCCCTGATATATATATAAAAAGAGAATAACTAAGTCTTGAGTCATTCCAATATTTAGAGTCTGGGGAAATGAGGAGGGGCAAAGGGGCAGAAAAGGGAATAATCAAAAAATCAGGAGGAAACCCAGGGAGGGTGGTAGTCTGAACACCACATAAAGCAAGTCTTCCAGGAATGAGAGAGATCAACTGTCAAATCCACAGCTAAGATAGGTCAGCTGTGAGGACTGAAAACTGAGCATTTACTGTAGCAACATGGAGATAATTAGCAACATTGACAGGATCAGTTGTAGTGAGATGGTGAAAGACAAATGCTACTGAAGTGGGTTTAATTAATATGGAAAAAAATAATTCAAAGCAGCAAGAACAGCTATCTCTGCTTAAGAGTTTTGCAGTAAAGGGAAGAAAGAAATCATGTCGTAATTTGAGAGTGGTGAGGTGGAGAGTCTTATTTTTTTCAGTAAATTGAAATAACCACATATTTACTAATGGGAATATTCCAACAAAAAGAAAACTGATGATGCTTCAGTTAGCATCTCAAACTTAATATACTCAAAATTCGGCTTCCAATATCCATCCTACAAACATACCCCTCCAACATCCTTCCACACCTCAGTTAAGGGAAATTCCATCCTTCCAGTTTGCTCAGGATAAAAGCCTCTAAGCATCATCTCATACTCCACATTTGTTGTTTCAGTAAATTGTGTTGGTTCTGACTAAAAAGTATGTCTTGAATTTGGTCACTCCTCACCACCCCAGTTGCCACCACCCTGTTCTAAGACACCATCACCAATCATCTGGGTTATAAACCAGCCTCTTAACTGGTCTCCCTGCTTCAGCCTCGCCCACCATGAACCTGTTCATGACACAGCAGTTAGAGTGACCCCATCAAAACCTAAGTGAGAATATGTCACTCTTCTGCTCAAAACCATGCAGTAGTTCCCATCTTAAAATTATGACAGAGCCTACATGACTCACTGCCCCCCACCACCCACCTTCCCACAACCATGACTAGCTGGCTCCCTCCTCCAGGTCTTTACTTAAAAATCAACTAGTCAGTGAAGACTTGGCTACTCTGTTGAAAAGGTTAAACATCATCCCATAACAGTCCATATCTCTCTTTTATTGTCTTTAGTGTCATTAGCATTTACAACTCTCTGATACCTTGTATAGGTCTATTATTTATCCTATTTATTATCTTGCTCTCCAACTAGAATGTAAGCTCCATAAGGGAAGGTAACTTTGTTTTGTTCACTGCTGAATCCCAACATCTAACTTATTATGGGCACTCGATAAATATTTGTGGAACTAATTAATTAAGTATAGGCCACCAACTTATTATAAAAAGTATTATTCCACTATTGAGAGGTAATAAGGAATTAAATGAGTAATGGAATCAGTTAAAAAACAACTTACTTACCCTCCTGACTTTTTGTTGAAGGCCATCCAAGTGTCTTGGGTTGAAGATAGGTGTAAGTGATACTCTGTATGCCAGTGCAGAGAAAATGAAGGTTCTTATGGCCAGGATTCTCACCTGGCCCTGGTTGGCTTGCTCTCTACACGCGTGTGAGCAATACATTGTTATTGACTCTATATAAAGAGCTCCACCCAGTGCTCCAGGCTGCTGCACGTCTGCAGGGCTGCAAGAGCAAAGACTGGAGTGGTGGCAGTTATGAGGACAAAGACTGAGACGGCTGCGAGGGCAGAGAGGCCCAAAGGCAGGGACCAGCTTGTTGCATGCAGACTTGCTCTGAGTGGACGGGATTCTAATGATTGACCTGCCACCGTGAGGATAAAGTTGGATATAAACTCTTTCACCCCAAGAACATTCCATTGTCATTTTTTCGGTCTCATTGAATCCATAGTGAACTTGTCCGGAGCTGGGAAACCCATTGGCAATATAGCCAGAATCTCACAGAGGGCAACCAAATGTTCTAAGATTCTGCCCAAATAACATATTCCTTGGGAAGCAATGATCCAGCTGGTAATTAACAGTCATGGAGCTTGCAGTCAGTATCATATATTTGATAAGGAGTTAATATCCAAAACATATTTTTTGAAAAACTCACACAAATCAATAGCAAAAAATACAAGAATCCAATTTAAAAAGGTTTTTCTCTTTATTTTCTGTTCAGAACTACAAGCACTGTTTTTCTTATACAATTGGAAAACCAGGAGACTTAAATCAACCATATGAGATTATCAACAAGTCTAACCATAACCATTTAATTTGGCCTGTGGACCATTCTGGAATATATGTGTTTCGTGTGAAGATCCTGGATCCAAACTATAGGTGAATATAAATGTTTTATTATAATAGTTTTAGCATTATTTCCTCAAAATTAACATTTTCTTGACATAGTCTTGATGATTGTTATTCTTTTTATTTACATATTTGCTTTTCCATTTTGTATTAATCAGATTAAACATTCTATGGGGATGGAAGATAAATCTTTAAGTTGAACATTTCAATTAAATTGGTTTACAATTATATTCTGAGTACTTTGCTATGTTCCACTGCTGTGATAAACACAAATATAACATAAGCCTAATCTTAACCTTCAAAGTGCTTGTAATTAAACTAGTTGGGGAAGGAGTAGTGGGAAGTCCACATGCAAACCAAGGGAGGCTAATAATACATGAGATATTCTTCAAATATAATCATTTGTATTATTGGTGGGCACAATAATAATTCAGAGATAGGGAAGATCAATGTTCTTCCGAGCATCCAAAGAAAACTCCCCAGAGAATATGGAACATTAGTAGAATTTACATTGCTGGAGGGCTAGGATAGACCCTTCAGATGAAAACAAAAGTCACACTAATAATGTGATGGTGCTGACCATTAGCGTACTGTCTAAGGCTGTGGAGTCATGAAGTCAGGAAGGTGGAAGATAGTTTCACTGAAGAAGGTAGAAAAACAAAGGAGGCAGACTAATTTCAGGCAATTCAAAATGTTGAAGTCAATTTCAAACCAGGTCCTAAAGAACCTCTTTAGTATCTTTACAAGGGAAGTGTTGTGATGAAAGTATAGTTCTAGGAAGGAGATTGAGTCAATAAGAAAAAACATTCCAACAAAAAAATACAGTACCAGACAGTTTCACTGGTGAATTCTACTAGACATATAAATAACAATTAATACTAATCCTTCTCAAATTGTTTCAAAAAATACAAGAGGAGGGAATGCTTCAAAACTCATTTTATAAAACCAACATTGCCCTGATACCACAACCAGACAAGGGCACTACAAGAAAGGAAAATTGCAGGACAATATCCCTGATGAACATAGATGCAAAAATCCTCAATAGAATATTAGCATACCAAATTCAGCAGTACATTAAAAGGATCAGACACAATGATCAAGTGGGATTTATTCCTGGGATGAACAAATGGTTCAATATCTGCAAATCAATCAATGTGACACAGTACATTATCTAAATGAAGGATAAAAATCATATGATGATCTCAATAGTTGCAGAAAAATCATTTGAGAAAATTCAACATTCATATATGATAAAAACTCTCAACACAGTATACGTACAGGGGATGTACCTCAATATAATAAAGGTCATATATGACAAGCCCACAGCATCATACTCAACAGTGAAAAGCTGTGAACTTTTCCTCTAAGATCAGGAGCATAACAAGGTTTCCCACTCTCACCACTTTTATTCAACATAGTATTAGAAGCCCTATACAGAGAAATTAGGCAAGAAAAAATAAACAAAAGGCATACAAATTGGAAAGGAAGAAGTAAAACTGTCACTTTTTGCAGATGACATGATATATATAGAAAACCATAAAGGCTCCACTACAAAACTGTTAGTACTATTACATGAATTCAGTAAAGTTGCAAGATACAAAATCAATACACAAAAATCTCTTGCATTTCTATAAACTAATAATGAATAATTAGAAAGAAATAAAGAATAATTCCATTTGTAATTGTATCAAAAAGAACAAAACAATTAGCAATAAATATTACCAAGGAGGCAAAACACCTCTGAACTGAAAAGTATAAGACACTGGTGAAAGAAAATGAAGACACAAATAAATGGAAAGATATTCCATGTTTATGGATTAGGAGAATTAATATTGCTGAAATGTCCAAACGACCCAAAGCAATCTAAAGATTCAATGCAATCCCAACCAAAAATTCCATGACAATTTTCACAGAAATAGAACAAACACCCTAATTTGTTTGGAACCACAGAAGATCCTGAATAGCCAAAGAAATCTTGAGAATGAAGAACAAAGCTAGAGACACCAGACCCCTGATTTCAAACTATACTACAAAGCTACAGCAATCAAAACAGTATGGTATTGGCATAAAAACACACAGTGATCAATGGAATAGAACAGTGAACCCAGAAATAAACACACATATATGGTCAATTAATTTACAGTAAAGGAGCTAAGAATATACAGTGAGGAAAGGACAGTTTCTTCAATAAGTGATGTTGAAAAAAGTGTACAGCCCATGCAAAAAATGAAACTGGACCTCTATCTTACATTATACACAAAAGTTAATTCAAAGTAATTAAAGACTTGAACATAAGATCTGAAACCATAAAACTCCTAGAAGAAAACATAAGTGGTAAGCTCCTAGAAATTGGTCTTGGTGATGAGATTTTGGATTTGACACCAAAAGCAAAGGCAAAAAACAGAAACAAAAATAAAGAAGTGGGACTACATCAAACTAGAAACTTCCGTACAGCAAAAGAAACCATCGGCAGAATGAGAGAAGACATTTGCAAATATATCCAAGATGGGGTTAAAATCCAAAACATATAAAGAACTCATACAGCTCAATAGCAAAAAAAAAACCCAAAAAATCCAATTTAATAATGGGCAGAGGATCTGAGTAGACATTTTCCCAAAGAAAACATACAAATCACCAATAGGTACATGGAAAAATGCTCAACATCACTAGACATCAAGGAAATGCAAATCAAAACCACAATGAGATGTCACCTCAGACCTGTTAGAATGGCAAATATCAAAAGACAAATAAGTGTTGAGGATATGGAGAAAAGGGAACTCTCATGTGCCTTTGGTGGGAATGTAACTTAGTGCGGCTGCTATGGAAAACAGTATGAAGGTTCCTCAAAAAATTATCTGAGGTTCCTTTCTTCTCTCTTTTCCCACATGAAGGTAGGTGAAATCATATCAAGTCATATCATTAATGTTTATTTAACTATATCCTGTCTCATTCTAAATAATATGCTAAATTATGAGAGATACTCAGAATTCTTGGAAATAATTATTAAATATTCAGTTATTAGAAATAATAACCAGTTCTATATCTCAAGTTCCTGACAGTCTCAACTTTCTGAGGAGTCCGCCTACATCAGGTGAACATCACAGGCTCTTTGGTCAGAAAAACCTGGATTCAAATCCCAGCTCTACTACTTACAACTATATAAACTTCAACTAGTAACTTACCCTATCTGAACCTCAATTTATTCATCTAAAAGGAAGGTTGCTATGAGTATTAACCATGATAATTCACATAAAGCCTTTGATACACTGCCTGGTACATAGCAAATGCTCAATTAGTATTCATTAATGCCTAGTAAATGTTTACTATTATTTCTGTCAATATTATTATTACTAATGTTAACATTGCTATCATGATGATGTAAAGCTGTTAGGAAGATAGAGAGGTGCACTGACAAGTTCTGGGGAATCTTACAGCAAGCATGCACATGGAAAAATTATCAGAGCTACCATATAAATGTATCTATTCTCTCCATTGTCAAGAAAATGATACCTTAACTAAGACTATATGATTTGATTTTTACCATAGAGATGTGAATGAAGTTTTAAAATATATTTTTCTTAATTAATCTTTAATATTACTTTTCTAATTTGCAGTTTCTGTAACCTAACAACTGTATTTGCAATAGAGACCTTTGGAATGATTCCCAGGTAATGACCAGTGCCTAATCAAGCTTTAATGAGAGAAAGTGTAAAAGACACAGGCGATAGCTAAAAACGAAAAGCACCTCTTCCCCATTTTTCTGTGACTCTAATACTTCTGACCTCTATGCAATACCCGAAAACTTGTATATCTGTTATACCAGGAATACAGCAGGAAGGTACTCCAGAGAACTGTAACTGCAGCTAGGGTCCCTTTTTGTTCCATCCCCTCTACAGCAACTGTCTTCCCATAAAATATATTTTTTAACCCCGCCTAGCAGATGAACAGTAAACTGCAGCATGAGGACTGGGAGGAGGCAATGGCTGGGCCTCTGCTTACCCTGAGTCAGCTCTGACCACTGGCCACCTCCAGTGCATCCAGGAAATAGGCAGTGAAGGCATTTTCCTGGGCTCAGCTCCAGCTTCCTTGGAGAGCAGAGTAAAAAATTTTAACACTAAAGCTGGAGTGCAAATGACTGCTTCTCTGTCCTGGGCCTGGTTTTTCTTTTTCTTTCTTTTTTTTTTTTTTTAGATTTTTCTCTTTTTTTTGTAAAATACTAAACAAAAGTAAAAGACAAACAATTAAGTTATTTATGGCCATACTTTAAATATTACAGTCCCTTGATTTTTTTGTACTAATGGGAGGTTAATGGTGTGAATAATCTGCAAAATGAGATAAGCTATGCATGTTTCTAAGTAACTCTGGGAAATGTGTATAGCCTCTTTGCAGCAATTCTCTTTCTCATTAGTATGTTTAATTTGGACAAATATTAAGAACATACGTACACCCAAGTAGCCACCAACAAAGGTGAGTTAAGGAGCTGAGAAAGAATAAAGGAAGTGCTCGCCTACTTGCCCAATTCACCTCCTAGTAGCTGAATCTCAGTAGCCAGGGAATACGGTGCACAGGACAGGATAGTCGATCAGGTTAGGGACTGCAGTTCAGTCTCTCTTACCAGACACAGCGCAGGGGTTAGCTGGTGGCAAACATCTTTCGAGTAAGAGAGCCCTTTTCATGAGCAAACCGCAGCTGATGATCAGCTTGTAGGCAGCAAAGATCTTGTACCCCCTTGCTTTTTGGCCCAGTGCTCAACCACTTCCCAAAATTTTCTACTGCGTCCTTTGGAATTAACCACCATTTAACCAGCAAATTCACCTAAATCCCCAACTATCCTCTGAACTCTCCTACCGCCCTCTGTCCCCTAGAGGCACTTCTTTATCTTCAGAACTCTAGAGTGATGTCTATTTATTTTCTAACACCCGCCATGTGCTTCCAGGTGCCATTACTACTTGCAGATCATTATTTATCCTGGTTCATATAAAACAAAACCAAACAAATTTTTTAAACACACACGAGCCTTTTGAGGCTCGTGGCATCTGCTGTACTCCCTGCCCTTTCTCTGTCCTCATTGCTGTGTCTTCTCCAAACCCCCCTGCATGCACTGATAACTTCAGCCCTGCCACACTGCTTTTCATCTCCACCTCAAGCCCACCATCAATGTCCACGTGTCCAACCCTGCCAACACCATGGTCTTTCCTCACCTTCACCTTGGTGTCCTGCTCTGCTGTACTTCAGCCACCCATTCCCACAGTCACACCTGGAACACTGGTATCACCATCATAAATTCTCTGCTTCCTACAGCATCAAGTCAGACATCCCACTCTCTGAACCTCAGCTTGTTAATTCAACTACACACAACCTTCTTCATCCTCGCTGGGACCTTCACCTCTACTTTCAGTCTCTCCGTTTTTACTTCTTCTTTCCCTGCATTTCAAAGTCTGCTACTTCAGTAACATGGACTTACCACTTACTTCAGTAACACCGACTTATTAAAGGTAGTCTCTAACCCTCCGGGATTTGGTCCTTCATCTTGCAAGGCCCCAATCACATACTTTCTTTGTAATCACACATGAACAGCCCGGGACTGGTAAAGAAAGTTACACAATGGGGCACACCCATCACCAACTTCAAATTCACCAACACTACCTGGTAATCTTACTACCTTTCTCTGGTCAACCAGTGTGTCTGTTCTCCATAAGAGCTGCTTCAGACCTTGTCTAATTAGCTTCTTCCTGCAACCTCTTTTCCTTAAAAATCATCAGATGAGCTTGTTTACAGAGAAATTAGAAGACATCTGACAGGAACTCCCTCTATTCCTGATTCCAAACATGTAAACTGACTAATATCTGCATGCATGTGTAGCTATGAGACAGAGAGATTCCAGCTCTGGGCAAGTTCACCCTGGATTCAGTGAGACCGAATAATGAGAACAGAACATTGGTGGATAAAAGGTTTGTACCAAGCTTTATTCTCATGGTGTCAGATCGAGTGTTGGAGTTATGTCTACAACAGGCAAGTCTGTCTCTGCTTCAGCCTCTGCTCCAGGCTCTGCCTTCACTTCCAACTTCTGTTCTGCTCCAAGCACTGGGCAGAGTTCTTTATATGGCAATACAGACAATATTGGCTTATTGCCAAGAGATGTGTAAGCATTAGCCCAGTTGTAGGCCAATTAGATCATCAACTAGATTATGGTCATGTGCAGATCCTGGCCATAGGAACTTACATTTTCCCTACACCATATCTCTCCTCTTTACATCCTGGTATAATAGAGGCAATATTATTCCTTCCCTTTGAATATTTTTCCAACTGTTCTTTGAACCCCATTCTTTCCCACTTTCAAAGGAAACTTCCAAGTCAATTATTCCTTCTCTCTTCTATATATTCAACTTTTGCTCTCAACTAGATCCTTCCATTAACAAAAAAACAAAATTCATCCAAGCAAATTTGAAAATCTGATGGCTTTACTAAGCAATTCATGAATTAGGCAGCAGCCCTTCCAGCAAGTAGAGAGATGCCCTGAAGGGCAATAGAAAGGGAGAGGTTTTTAAAGGCAGGACAAGGAAATAAAACAGAAAAAAAAGATGTTTGGGGGTAAAGTCACCTTCATCTGGGGACAAAAGTGTCTTATTAAGTGAATTCCTTTGGGGGAAATGGAGAAGACCCAAATGACATTATCTTATCCATCATGACCAGAAAACTCTTACGTTTCTGGGGGAAGCCAAAACTGCAGTTAAGCTCTGGTTTGGTGGCTTGGCCTAGCAGAAGTGATGTTGGGCCTGTGTCTTTCTTTTTAACACCTTGTCTTGCCAATGGGTTTCAGCCCCGGGCAAGTTCACTATGGATTCAGTGTGACCAAAGAAAATGACAGCAAAACGTTCTTAGGGTGAAAGGGTTATACCCAACTTTATTTCCAGGTGGCAGGTCAGTCACTAAAATCCCGTTCACTCAGGGCGAGTCTGCATGCAGTAATCCGCTCTCTGCCTCTGGGCCCCTCTGTTCGCTCAGCCATCCTCTGGGCCTCTCTCTTCGATGCTGCCACCACTCCAGCCTCTCCTCTGCTCTGCTCTCCTACAGCCTTGCAGCTCTGCCACCATGTCCTGCCCATAGCACTGGGCAGAGCTCTTTATATAGAGTCAACAGCCATGTGTTGCCCACAGCTGTGCAGTGATCTAGTCAACCAAGTGAGAATCCTGGCCACAGGAACTCCCACTTTATCCACACACCACCAAAAGACTTTTAATCACCCTCAAGATTTTTGTTTTAAACCTCATCTCCCCTCCAGCTACCACCTTCTCTCTCTCCTTTGTAAGACAAACTTCCTAAAAGACTTGTCTACACTCTGTCTTGCCAATGGGTTTCAGCCCCAGGCAAGTTCACTATGGATTCAATGAGATCAAGGAACAGTGGAATGTTCTTGGGGTGAAAGGGTTTATACCCAATTGTCTTACCAATGGGTTTCAGCCCTGGGCAAGTTCACTGGATTTAGTGTGACTAAAGAAATGACAGTAGAACATTCTTGGGGTGGAAAGGGTTATACCCAACTGTATTTCCACAGTGGCAGGTCAATCACTAAAATCCCATTCACTCAGAGTGAGTCTGTATGCAGCAAGCTGGTCTCTGCCTCTGGGCCTCTCTACCCACACAGCCATCCTCTGGGCCTCTGTCCTCAGCACTGCCACCACTCCAGCCTCTGCTCTGCTCTCCTGCAGCCTTGCAGCCATGCCACCGTGTCGCCCAGAGCACTGGGCAAAGCTCTTTATACAGAGTCAATAACGACATATTACCCACACCTGTGCAGTGAGCTAGCCAACCAGGTCCTGGCCACAGGAACTTTCATTTTATCCACACCAACTTTATTCCCACTGTGGCAGGTCAATCACTAGAATCCCAACTACTCAGAGTGAGTCCGCATGCAGCAAGCCAGTCTCTGCCTCTGGGCCTCTACCTGCACAGCCATATCAGTCTCTGTCCTGGGCACTGCTACCACTCCAGTCTTGTCTCTGCTCTCCTGAAGCCTTGCAGCTATGCCACCGTTTTGCCCAAAGCACTGATGGAGCTCTTTATATAGATTCAATAACAACGTAGTGCCCACATGTGTGTAGTGAGCTAGCCAACCAGGGCCAGGTAAGAATTCTGGCCATAGACCTTCACTTTATCCACACACTCACAAGCTGCATTTTCTTATATTCCATTCCTATCTCCCTAATCCATCTGTCTTGCCAAAGGGTTTCAGCCCTGGTCATATTCACTATGGATTCAATGAGACCAAGGAATGACTGGAAGTTCTTGGGTTAAAAGGGTTTATTACCCAGCTTTATTCTCCCGAAGATAGGTGACCCCCTACATACCTCAGATTCTATTCAAAATGCCCAAAAGTAAACCAACTGTAATCACACACAGCTTCAATACTCAGCAAAGTGATCTTCTCTCTGAATTTTTTATGTCAGAAAATGGTAATACCATCTTCACAGTTCCCTCATCCCAAAACTTAGAAATCATTTTTTATTCCATCATATTTCTCAAACCCTACATCTTAATCACTAAGACCTATCCAATCTAACTTCTAAATATATCTCATAACTTTTTTCACTCCACACTCTTGATTCCCATTCATCTAGTCTTCTTACTACAATCAGAATTACCCTAATGAAAGGACAATTCTGTGTAGCATCTATGAAACTTCCTCTTGTCTGTAGGCTAACAGCCATACTCTATAGCTTGATAAAAGTTGTCTTTCTCATCTCTAACCATCTATCATTCTGCACCTCTAACCACTTTTCCTACCACCTGAGCTCTAGTCACACTGAACTGGTTTTAGTTCCAGAATGTCTTGGAGGATCTTAAGGTTTTCCTATGCTTCTATGCATCTCCCTTAGCCTAAAACTTTATGCCTACCTTAGTCTCTTCCTCCACTCCCAGGCATGTTTGTCTAGCTAACTCATACTAATACTACTAACCCTACTCATACCTAGCTAACTCCTACCCATACTCAGTTCAAAAGCCACCTCCACTGGAAGGCTTTCCTTGGTGCCTGACTCCTGTATACTATTATACTTCCTTCTCTCAATACACAGGTCACACTGTCTATTTTCTTCCCTGCTCAGCCTCAAGTGCTAAGAGGTAAACATCTTGAGAGTAGACAAGATGTATCATTAATCTTTGTTCTCTGTCATTGGCATAATAGCTAGCTATTCAAAAATTGTTTAACTAAATAAATAAACATGACTTTTTTTTTCTTCTTTCAGGCCAAGTGTCTACCTGGTCATTTCTTTCCTCTTTCTCCTGATGCTACTGTTTTTCAGTATTCTTGTTTTTAGCTACTTCCATTATTTAAGAATTTATAGAAAACATATTTATGAAACATTTCACAAACTTGAAAGAAAATGAAAAAATAATTAGAAAAGGTGAATGTTTGTTTACTATGGATATATGTATATACAGTAAGTGTGTATAGTTATACTTATTTATACAGCATGTGTGTTCTACCAAGAAATATAAGTATAAACTCATAGAAAGTATCAAATTCAAGATCTGAAAAATGTTCTTAAATTACCCAAAAGAAAAATCATTTCATACATTTTGTGTGTTATGAAATTAATCCTTAATGTGTTTGCATTTATGTTAAGATAGTCTGTATACTCTTACAAGATTCTTTAAAATAAAAACTTTAAAAACTTTAAATTTGGCTACTACAATCCTTGCTAAGAATGAAAGCAAATTTTTGAAAATGTATAAATGTGTCAGATATTATTGTTTTGCATAAAACTTTTCATATGAAACCTTATATGGGATTAAAGATGGCAGCATGAGAGCTGAGACAGAGGCTTCCTCCTAAAACCGCATATAATATGAAAATATAATTAATATAACTAATCCTGAAAGAGCAACAGAAAAGAGGAATGCACCAAACTGCATACATCTGAAGAAAAGAGCAGACCTCATGGAACACGGTAACATACCAAAGCAGTGGCCCAGAGGGACCCAAGCCCTTCCCCCGTCCCAGCTCACCAGC